AGGTTGCTGTGAGCGTGATGCCATGGCACTCTACCCAGGGGGATAGCTTGAGGCTCCATCTCAAAAAAAAAAAAAACCCAGAAAAATTAGCCAGAAGGGCAACATGTGCCTGTAGTCCCAGCTACTTGGCAGGCTAAGGTAGGAAGATCTCTTTAGACCAAGAGTTTGAGGTCTTGTGAGCTATGACGATGCCACTGTACTCTAGCCAGGGTGACAGAGCAAGACCCTGTCTCAAAAAAAAAACAAAAACAAAAATTTCACCAGAAGATTAATAAAATATCAATTTATATATATATAGGTGTGTAATATGAGAAACAGAGACATGGATTATATTAACCATGGCTGGACAGTTTCCAGACAGCCCGGGTGTGTGTCTGTGTGTATATAAAGTATGTAGGTATTAAGTTTCTGAAGCAACTAATACAACTATTACATATCCATAGTCATGAAAATACTACCACAGGTTTTCCCTGTGGCCTATGACCTATAGATATGGTGTCTTATCACCTCCTATTAATCTACCAAAATTACAGAGACATTTTCCAAGTATAAGGAGACACAAGCCTACATTCAAGTTTGGGGCTTTATTCAGTACCAGAACTTTGTATGCCCACTAGCTCTCTTTGTTTAAATATAGATTCTGTCACACTTCCTCAGCAAAAATTGGATCTCACTCTCATCAGAACACTGCAACTAACTCTAGATCCCTCAGTACAAGAAGAATGGAAAGCTGGTGAGAAACAAGAGATGGTTCCTAAGAAAGCACCATGAGTTGTTAAATTAATCTCGAGTATGAAAGAAGGGTAATCACCTAGCCTGGCAAGAAGCTGACCAAAGAACAACTTACATGATAGTGCCCAAATGCACATCAGGCACTTAGAACCCAGAGGCCATTTTTCAGACATAGCTATTCACCCACTTCTCTCTATTCTTTCTAACATGGTCTTAATTGGGGCCACCATCATTTCACCCCTGCATTGCTACAGCATCCTTCTCTGACTCTAGTTTTGTCCCTTTCCAATCTACTGTTCACATGACAGCTAATTATCTTTCTGAAATGTAATTCTGGTAACTTCATTGTTTCTTACTGTGAGTCTCAACACACTACACCGTAATTACCTGTCTTGATCTTCTACATTACAATAAGCCCCATGAAAACAGTCTGTTTCAAAGTCACTGCTGAAGATTCCTGGCACCTTGGTACAGTGCCTGGCATAGCCAACACACACATACCAGTTGAATGAATGATATTAAGGTTCTCACACTGAAAAATAATTAATAGAATAAACTGCCAAAGAAAAGTAATCAATGTTGCTTTTCTAAAGGAAATTTGAAATAAACACATATTTTCTGTCAAGAATAGTTTAAGTATAGATTGGCCTAAAGGGAACATAAATAAGGGATATAAAAACTAGATGACCTCTCTCACATATCTATTTCAGACCTAAATTTTAAAAGAAGCAGGGGTATCTACTTATGGGGGAGGGAGGGAGTAGTGCTGAGAACTGATTTCACAGCACATTTGCCACAGAGCCCCTTCCTGACTCCCAGTAAGTCTGGTCCGCGTGCTGGCCCTGTAAGAGAGGGGAATGTGGGAGGAAAAGATAGGGTAGGGCCACTCCCCTGTTATCAGTGCAGCACTCATCAGGAACCAACTTCCTCCTCCATCCCCTACCCTGGTTTTCCCTGCTCTAGAGGGTTCCAGTAAAATTGTTTCCTCTCCTTTCCCTAAAAAGGCAAAAGCCTAGAATGATAAAAGCTTCCTGCTATCAACCTGGGTGCTGCTGGTCTCTGGGTACAACATCCTTTACTGGTTCCAATAAACCTTCCCACATTTCTCTGACAAGTCCCTTCATTAAAATCACTTCAAAATCCTAGCTGAGTATGCCATGTTTCCTGCCTGGACCATGACTGATATAGTTTATGAACACAAATACAAAGAGAAGATTGATTAATTAGTAGTCTCTCAAGAGTTTAAGTTAACTGTTGATGTTATAATCTCTCAAATATCCTGTTTTCTGGCAAAAAAAAAGGATAAAATTTTTTTTTTAATATGGTAGTTGTTTTTTGTCCCCAATTTAGATTCTAGATTTTGTTTCACCTTGAGTTTTTGCTTTAAACCAAGTAACAAATATCTCTACAATTAGAACCACATCTTTGGGTGCAGGACACGTATTTGAACAGAATAAGAAAATGTACAACAGAAAAAAATTAGAATGTTCTTCAAGTAATGCTAGCGAAAAGTTTTCCAATGATGCAAACATGTAAAAATTGCTTGATTTTTTTTTAAATTTGAAGGCCAAAAAAAAAAAAACAAAACAAAAACCCAAAACAGTATAAATTTAAATGTTACTCTAAATTTTTAAACAAGCATCAATAGTTTGGTTTTATCAAGGGTGGTGGGGGCCTACAGCTTATATAATTAGGAGGAGAACCTCTTAATGAGGGAAAAGAATCAGTACAACTGTGCATATGAAATTACAGGACCTTAGCAGAAAAGGGCTCTGGAGCTTCAGCTCCATAAGCTTCATGGTAAATCCACCTCTAGTTATAAAAACAAAATATCTTTTTATAAATCCATCATTAAATTATAGGTAGAATGTTTAATACTAACATTTACTGAACACAAAAAGAAAAATCTTAAACTTTATAATGAAAAGCTAAACTTTTACTTCGTATCAAATTTCAGCAATCATATAATGTAATCTTAGTCTATGGAATCATGAAATCTTATTATGTAATCATATAAACCATACTAGAGTAAAGAATTGTTTGCAATTAGTTGAGGTAAAGAATAAAATGCAATTCCTAATAAAATAGTTTTCAACCAAGATTCATTGCCATTTTTTCACTTAAACGTTCATTCAAAAAGTACCTTTCCTCTTTCTAGAAAACAAAATTGAGAGTCTCTTTAACGTATAATCACTATTTTACTAGTTAATAAAATAATTATCTTAAAATAATAATGTTTATGTCAAATAAAAAGATTCTAAGATAAAGGAATTATAGGGCGGCGTCGGTGGCTCAGTGGACAGGGCGCTGGCCCCATAAACGGAGGGTGGAGGGTTCAAACCCAGCCCCAGCCAATCTGTAACAACAACAACAAAAAAAATAAAGGAATTATAAAGCCTTTCTTACTGTGGCATTTAACTTCAAATAATCTTAGCTAATAGCACTTTTATGTACTGATCTAACTCCCTCTCACTAAAGGAATGGGAATGCAAGAAAACAGAGGAAATGTAGAAACCTTGGTTTCAAACAAAATACTCAGATTAGGCTAAGACGTAAAACAAAAGTGGGCATTATATTCACAATGAGTCACGTTGTGCTAAAAATTTCTGCATGCTGCTGGCTGTTGGGTGGATTTGTGAGACCTGGGCACTCACTGGGTAATTTATGGAATCCTTACCCCGTCCCATGAATTTAGCAAGAATAGCTTAAAAATTGGCTGGCTATATAACCAGAAGTTTATTCCTTATGGTGGCTCTGAAACAAGGCTGAATGTAAAACAGGTACAGGTTGTCAGAAGTCTATGAATCTGATTAAAAGAAATAAACCAAGCTGAGAGGAAGAATGTCCTCTCCGGGATTCTAACACTTTTTAAAAACTGTTATCCTGGCTCAGCAACCATAGCTCAGTGGCTAAGGGCACTGGCCACATGCACCAGAGCTGGCAGGTTTGAATCCAGCCCAGGTCTGCCAAACAACAATGACAACTGCAACAAAAATATAGCTGGGCATTGTGGCAGGCGCCTGTAGTCCCTGCTACTTGAGAGGTTGAGGCAAGAGAATCACTTAAGCCCAAGAGTTGGAGGTTGCTGTGAGCTGTGATGCCATGGCATTCTACCAAGGGTGACAAAGTAAGACTCTGTCTCAAAAAAAACTATTATCCTTCCCATTCTTATGATAATGGAACAATAGAGGGAACAAGGCAGAAAATGACAGCCCTTTTTTTCCATGCCTTTTTTCTAAGGCTTCGTTTCCATGCCAGCATATATATAGCAGCTATAAAAACGATTTGTAGGCCAGGCATGCCGTGGCTCACACCTGTAATCAAGCACTCTGGGAGGCAGTCAGGAGTTGGAGACCAGCCTGCACAAGAGTGAGATCCATCTCTACTAAAAATAGAGAAATAGCCAGGTGTTGTGGCAGGTGCCTGTAGTCCTAGCTACTTGGGAGGCTGTGGCAAGAGGACCACTTAAGCCTAAGAGTTTGTTTGAGGTTGCTGTGAGCTATAATGCCACCACACTCAACCCACAGCCACAGAGTGAAACAGTGTTTCAAAAAAAAGAATAATTTGTAGATGTAGGTACAAAGAGTGGCGATAATGAAAAAATCCTTAGAAAGTATTGAACTGTACTAAAAGTCTCCACCAACAATAACAACAACACCTTTGTGCCAACCAAGTCTCACCCTCCCTTCCCCAAAGATATGAGTTAAATCAAAGAAGGGCAGACCATGCAAAATTTTCACACTTTTAATGTGATGGATTTCTGATGTTATGATGGAGTAGCATAAAGGTGGCAACGAAAAAACAGCTCTTGCAGTCAAATATCTTAAAATCCACACCCTTTCACCTTGCATGTGTGGAAGAAGAAAGAGCAGAAGATAAAATCACTTCCACCTGGACCACTGCTTTTCTTTATCTGTTAAAGGCACGTATATCACCCCCATCAGAGGCTTCATTTTGACACTGCCATCTTGTAGCTTGTCATACTGCTCCAACATTTGGTTTCCACCTGCAGGACCGACTGGCAATATCAATCTTCCACCAGGCTTTAACTGGTCTATTAGCTAAAAAAAAAAAAAGAAAAACACATATACACCAAGTTACAGATTTTACATCTATAACTGGTTTTTTTACATCACTGTTTTGTTTTGTTTTGTTTCCAAACTAATATGAAGGTACAATTTTTACATTATGTTGTTCTCACTTCCAGGGTAAAGTTCCATTTGTAGAAGAGCCCCTCACCCAGGGGGCATGTTAAATACCCTCACAATACATCACTGTTAATGACTTTTACTGTCCATGGACAGAAAGCAGAAATGTACTTTCTTTGTTATATTCAAGTTGAGAATAACTAATCTGAAAATCCAAGGTTGGAAATGCTCCAAAATCCAAAATATGACACCACAAGTAAATAATTTTACACCTGATTTCATGTGATGAGTAGCAGTTAAAACTGTTCCATGCACAAAGTTATTAAAAGCATAATAAAATTGCCTTCTGTGTATATGAAACATAAATAAATTTCATGTTTATACTTAATATCTCGTTTGGATCTAAAAAAAATCCAAAACACTTCTGCTCCTAAGCATTTTGGATAAGGGCTACTCAAACCTATACATACTTTGTTATACTATTACTCAGCATCAGCCCCCTCTACTAAACTACAGGTTCCTTGAAAACAGAAACTGTGTATTATTCATCTTTATATTCCCAGCATGAAACATATAGTAAATACCTGGTATAACCACAGTGCTCAAAAGGTTTGAACTCAACCACCCAGTGTAGAACTATTCTTTTAGGGAGGTTAAGGGCAAAGCTTACAATTCTAATGCCTGTTGTTCCTGTTCTGAATCTCTGTGGGTTGAAAGGGAGGAAGAGGGCAAGTGTAAAAAATCAGTAAGGAACCCCTATCCTATTAGTTTAGAACCTAGGGCATCACTGAAGCAAAGATAAGGGAACCCTAGTTATATGATTAAATTTAGGATTACATGATTGAGGTTACAGTGAGCTATGATTACACAACTGTACTCCAGCCTGGGCAACAGAGCAAGACCCTGTATCTAAAAATATAATAATAATAATAGTAGTAATAGAATATGCTTCCTTCTCACTGCCAACTATGCATATCATACTTACTTACTATTCTTTAAGACTGAGTTCAAGTTTCATCCCTGTGTAGTCTCCTTGGAGACTCAATGGAAAATTTCTTCCCTCATATACATATTTTCTTTTCCATCCAATATATATCATACACTAATGACATGCTATCATATAATTAATTTCTTTGTTACATATGAGACACATGTATTCTAGAACATAAGCTCCGTGAGGGTACAATGTATGACAAATACTTCCTTGTATCTCTCATGCACCTAAAATAGTCTCACATATTCTTTTTTTTTTTTTTTTAAGACAGAGTTTCATTATGTCACCCTTGGTACAGTGCAGTGGCATCACAACTCACGGCAACCTCAAACTCTTGGGTTTAAGCAATTCTCTTGCCTTACCCTCCCAAGTAGCTGGGACTTCAGGTGCCCGCCACAATGCTGGCCATTTTTTGTTGTTGTTGCAGTTGTCATTGTTGTTTAGCTGGCTGGGACCAGGTTTGAACCCACCAACTTCAGTGTATGTAGCTGGCACCATAAACCCTGTGCTACCAGCGCTGAGTCACATATTCTTGTATTTAATAAAACTTCACCAAACTGATTATCAGGTCATGAACACCAGAGGGATTTTCCCAATTTTATTGTTGCCCTAATTCTTACCTGGATCAAATATTGCTTCAAGTAAGACAGTCATAAGCTGGGAGTTAGTAATTTTTATGTCATTTATATAACTGTTTGCATATGAAAAAAATGAATAATAGATAACTGTAACCAAAATGCATAACACAAAATTCTAATTCTATCTTGACCATCATCTTTTAGAGTTTAAGTTGAATAAAACACACAAACACATGCAAAAAATCCCAACTCACTGCCTGGGGTACAACTGGGGCTGCAGCTCCTACGTGAATAGCATCATAAGGGGCCTCTGTGGCATATCCCATTCTTCCATCCCCCACTGAAAGGAAAAAGGCATGCTTTAGAAACTATTCAGATCAGACCTAATGTGAGGAATTCTAGTCTAAGGGGTTTAAGATAGGGACAGGATAGATTTTTCAATAGATGATCCTGGGACAACAGTCTATTCGTATGAAAAAAGAAGAGCTACCTACCTCATACACACACAAAAATCAATGTTAGGAATATCAAAGACCTAACTGTGTAAAGCTAAAATGATAAAGCTTCTAAGAAATAATATAAGGGCATATCTTCATGACTTTAGGATATCCTTAAACACCACAAACTGGTAAGTCTTGACTACATTAAAATTAAAAATCTCAACTTATCCAAAGGGTACCAATAAGATGAAAAAGCACACCACAGGGTGGTGAAGGACAAATTCACAATATGCAGGAACAGACAAAGGGCTAGAAGCCCTAAAAATCAAATAAAAATATGAGCAATATAATATCGGAGCAGGCACATCAAAAAGAGGAAATCCAAATGGCTTTCAACCTCACTGGTTATAAAGAAAATACTAATTAAAATTACAAAGAGATACAATGCTATGCATTCACAAAAAAATAAAAAATAAATAAAATAAAATAAAATAAACAATGCTATGCATTTCACTAGGTAGACAAAAAGAGTAATTGTTGGCTCGGCGCCTGTGGCTCAAGCAGCTAGGGCGCGAGCCACATACACCTAAGGTGGTGGGTTCGAATCCAGCCCGGCCCTGCCAAACAACAATGACAGCTGCAACCAAAAAATAGCCGGGCATTGTGGTGGGTGCCTGTGGTCCCAGCTACTTGGGAGGCAGAGGCAGGAGACTCGCTTGAGCCCAGGAGTTGGAGGTTGCTGTGAGCT